GATGTTCATAAATAATTCTCAGTATCGATACTCATATGGTAGTATCAATACTCCTCTGAGTACCGATACCAAAATTACATTCAATGTTTTCGAAAAATACCTCAATATCGATACCGCCATGGGGAATATCGATACTCTCATGAGTACCGATACCATAATTGGCTACTAGAATCCGATTTGGGTCTCGAGTATCGATACCAACTACTGACTATCAATACCATACGAGCAGTATCGATACTCCTTGATGGGGTATCGATACTCTCCTCATAAACCTTAAATTTTATCCTCTCCCAACATGCATTATCAGTATTGTTCTTACAGTACTAATACCCTCGACCCAAAAACTCTGTTTTCTCTCGTGAAAACTCTCACAAATTATTCCTAAAGTTACCCCAAGGGTCACAAATAGTGTTTAAAGCTTATGTGTCGTTAAAGGAAGATGAAAGGTCATTATTTTAAGCACGAATAACATTAAATCCCCATTTTCATGATTTTAAACCCCCAAGAGCACCAAATGACTCATACACATAAACAAGCAACAAAACTACACATGTTGATCTACAAATGGTAGAGAAAGGTTAGAAATATGTTGCCTTTCAGCTAAGGGTTGGGAAAACACCTTCAACTATCCAAGAACAAGTTTCTCCTTGCCTCTTCCCTTAGATCTCCCTCTCACCTCTTGCACTAATCACAATCAATGGAAATGAGTTATTAAACTCGGCTAAAGGCTTAGAACGTTAAGAAAATAATTCCTAAGGTTTAGGAACTTTTTAAAGCCACCCACGAGCTTTAAAACTCAACTCTCCCTAAACCCAACTATGAACACCATAACCAAACTCTAAGGTTGAGAGCTTGATTTGAAGCTCTAGAAGAGGTGATTTCAAAACTTACCTTCACTAATCCGGGATGAGGATATTAAGAAACAAGTTCCCATTTTTGCTTAGTCATAAGTAAGATGAGTGGAAGGAGTTTGTATAAAAAAAAGAAGACATTGAATGGAGGAAAAAGAGATTAGTGTTTTTCGTGGGTGAATTCACCAAACATAAATGTTTTCATTGAAATATTTAAGTGTAAATTGCACTCTTAGTCTCTCTCCTTTTATGCTCTCTTCAAAGACACCTTTTTTAAGGCTAAATGGCTCAAGCCTAAACCAGTCAAAATATATTTTAGCTCAATGCTCTTAATAGGTTCCTTGGCCTAGTTAAAGCTCACCCAGGTCTACTCGAAACTACCAACCCAAAAATCAGGACGTTACAATTTTTATTTCCATAGCATTCAAGGTTGTCTCATTTAAGCCTTCCTTATATCATATATAATAATATAGATAAGAATGCACTCACCCGATATACTTTTCTAGCAAACCTTTATTAGCGATATAAGTCTTACTCCTTCACTTTTTTCCTTAGCTTTAAACTTGTTTTGATCTCAATTTCGATCACAATCTACGAGTACATCATTTACAAAACACATACATTTCAAAGTACATGTTAGTACCTCTCCATAATAGGCACATAATAAGAAATAATTTTCTAAAAATTCTTTCAATGCTTATTAGATACTAATTCTATTTCATATTAACCTTAACACTTCAAAATTCCATTATCACTTTGCATTATAACTTCAAATCTCTCAATATCCAAATCAAAGAATAATTAAAGTAACCATTTAAAAATTCACAACCTAATCATCAAAAAAAAAAAAATGGAATTCATCCCAATATTTCCATAATATTCAAAATGGTTCATTTCTATTTAACTTGAACTCAAGCTTCCAACAATTCATTTAAACATTCTACATCAATTTCAAATCAATTTCCACATCAAACCCATTATTCTTACACATGTCAAAATGGTCCCTTAACCTTTACATACTTCCAAATTGATCCAAACAATATTTTAAAGCTTGTACAATCATCCACTCTTCACGTCTAACCTTAAATATTTTTTTAAAAAAAATTCCTAATTATTCCCTTATGGTCGAATAGTGACTTGGGAATGATCTCCAACTTGATTCAAGCATGATTTCTACTTCTAAACATCATATTTAAGCATTATCAATCAATCCAATATCAAAACCAATTCAAATTTTCAATTTCAATATAAACCCTATGTGGTCGAATCCTATATATACCATTTCCAAATGTTTTTCATCATCTTTCAAACATGAAAATAATTCAACAACAACTGCATCATAATCAAGCTTTATAACATCAATTTCTAACATCCCCTTCATTTACCCTAGTAATGAACTTAGGGTTTTAAGCATGAAAATATGGACTAATAGTACCAAATGATAAAGAATTTCATGCAGATCAATTTTGTATTTCATGATTTCATCAAAATTCCTAATAAAATGACTTGAAAATCAAAAGAAAAGTTTTCCCTTACCTTATGAAGCTCACAGCAAGAAGAAGAAAAGACTAGAAATCTCTTGATTTTTCTATTCTTTCAATTAAGACCACTTGTCATCTTTTATGCTAAAATGACTTAAATTGCAAAATGATCATTTTGCCCTTAAAATCCAATACTCATCATCTTTCCACATTTCAAAATATTCATCTAAGGGCTCTAATTAATCCCATGAAATAGTAGATACCAACTATGACCTTGAAAATCCCAAAATTGCAATCTTGTCATTTTCACCCAACGATTTAGATTTAACATGGAAAATCAACTTAAATTCAATGGCCCATATTAAATCTTATCACTTTAAGGCACAAAAATGATATTATTAACCTTGTCTTATCATCTAATAAAATATATTAATTATTCGATTCGATCTGATTATTCAAATTTTTCTTGAACTTTAACGCTTTACCTCCTTTAATACAAACTCTGTACGAAAAATTCGGGTAACACGAAACCATCACTCTTGGGGTAAACTACTCATTTACGAGACTAAAATACATAACTTTTGATAATTGCAATTTAGCTCCAAAACTTTTACCAAGTTTATAATTTGGCCATCGAACTTTCAATTTATTCATTTGATCACTAACCAAAATTTTGGGGTATTACAATAAAAAAAGTGACATTTAATATTTCTTAGATTTAAGGGTCATATTAAAGGTAAAAAAAAGTAAGTAATCATATTGTTTTTTATAAAAGTTCGAGGATCTCAAGAAGCGTTAAACCTTAAATAAATACCAATATTGTTTTAAATATTTATTATTTTTATAATTGTTTATCCAAATAAATCTTCCTTATTTTTTCTTTATAATTGTTTATCCATAAATAGCGTAAGAGAGTTTGAACCTAGGCGCAAACAAATATCTTCACCAAGTTGCTTTATTGGAGATATATATTATTAATAATAAAAATATTAATTATGTACGAAGCACGTAAAATACATAAAATTATTTTAGTTCTTTTATCATCAATTCCTTTCATTATGTTGTCTTTTTCTCATATATAATTTTAAGGACTTATGTAATTAACTAATTCCAAAATGTTTCATTACTAAGATTTTAATTGTGTATTTGTAATCAAGTACAATTTAAAGAAATTATTTGTTTTAAAAAAATACCCGGTTTAAATCATGATACGAACGGAATTGAAAATACATTTTAAAATTAAAGGATAAAATAACTGAAAATTATTGATTTTTTTTTACGTATTTTAAAAAAGAGATAAAATTTCTCACAGATCTTAAATTATTGTTGACTTTTGTTGCTTTGCCATGGGTTTTGGGCAATGTCGGTGGACCGTGGTTTTAATGCAGAGGAACTTTCACAATACATTAACTGAATTATAAGTTAATGTCCATAAAATAAATAAAATTTTAAATTAAGGCACGGCACATTAAATATATTTTCCGCAATTAATAATTAAATATTTTTAAAAACTAATGCTGTAAACTGATGATTTTTTAATATTTTAATAATCTTGAATTTAAAACCTGTTGCTTGAAATTGAAACTTAGAGAATTTTTCAAAGAATTAAGACAAGTTTGGGTAATTTTTCTTGTTGAAATTTTAGTCAAATATGATTTTTAGAAAATAGAATTGAATAAATGGGAAATGCTTATCAAAACTATGAGAAAGTTATTAGGAATGTTATGGCAATTTTTGAAATTACATCCACCAAACAAAATACAAATTTTATAAATTTATCATATTCAGATTCAGTCATCGAAGTTGGAAACGAAAGTTGTGTACATTTAAATAATAACTAAATTGAAACTTGATATGATTTTAAATTTTAAAATGATAAATATATTGTAAAATATATAAAATGGAGGGGACAAGAAGGCTGGCAGGGTAATTAGGATCCCATGGGTGGCCCAATAAGCGAGAGCCATTTATGGGGTTGGTCTAATTGGAATTTCTTCACTGTGAGTACAGCCAATCAACTTTAATGAATGGGGTGAGCCACCCTTATCCCTGCAATCTGCACTCCCAATCAAATGTACCCACTTCTTTTTCATTTTATTTCTTCAAAACATATTAAAATTCTTATTTTTTTAAGTTATTGAACATTATGTTAATGCAAATGATATATTTACATTGCCTTCACTACATTTGATAAAATAATAATAATAAGATTGAAATACAGTTACAATAAATTTCACCTTAATCCCATTGATAAATAATCATGAGCTTCACATATGATATATATGGCTGTACTCATTAACTCCAGCCTACTCCAACTCAATAACCCACTTTATACAATAGATTCACATCACTTCATATATTACAAAAGCAACAAAAATACAATTAAAAATGTTATTTTTGTAACACTCGGTAGTTAAGATTTTATTGATTTAATGATAAATAGTTTACATTATTTTAAATTTAAAAAACTTAGATAACAATTTGTTATTTTTATTTATTGAGAGGTTATTTTAAAAGACAATAAATTAATGTGAGAACATAGTTAACAAGCATTGAAAATGATAACTTAAAAGATAAATATTTTTATTAAAGAAAAAGATATGACGTTTATGCAAAAGTGGTCAAGGAAGCCAACAAAAAGCCTTTGATTGGTTTGCCATCACGCCAAAACAAAAACCTTCGCTCAACTAAGCACAAAAGCAATGGAGAAGAAGAAGAACAAGAAGCAAAAGCATCAACACCCCAATGATCAAACAACGAAACCACCAGCACCATCATCGGGTTTCTCTTTCAAGCCAAGCAACGAGGTAAAGGGTCTAAGATTCGGCGGGCAGTTCATCGTGAAATCCTTCACGATCAGGCGAGCAAGGCCACTGGAGCTACTTAAACTACTCGATTTCGCACCATTGTTCAACAAATCCAACACCACCAACAACAAGCTCCCGTTCCCCACCACAACCGCCTTCTTACCCACAAATTTCACCATCTTAGCTCACCATGCGTGGCACACGCTGACCCTAGGCTTCGGCACCAAGAAATCCAAAGTGGTTCTATTCGTTTTCGAATCGGAAGCCATGAAGGTAGCGGTGGACAGAATCTGGCCGCCGGAGATACCCCTGGGAGAAGTTAACAAGAAGCTGATAAGGGGGCTAAAAGGGTTCGAAATGGCGAGGTTTAAGTTCAGAAAAGGGTGCATTACTTTCTATGTGTATGCGGTGAGAGGAGCGGGAACCCTGGGCTTCTCCTGTGCTGATGATTTGAAAAGTGTTTTACAATCGGTTGTGGAGCTCAAGGATTTCTTGGATCATACTGCCATGCTTGCATTGCCGAACCAGAGAAGCCTTAACTATTCCCCTCCGCTTGCCATGGCTCACTAATCTTTATAATTATTCTTGTTTCTCTTTGTTTAATTTTAGGCTTTTAAATATAGTTTTGTTTTATATGATTGGGTGATTGGTTTATTTATTGGATGATTATGTTGTTGCTATTAATTTCTCTTTCAACAAATGTGTATCTTGTAGTATGAATAAACCTGTCCGTAAGTCTTTCTTTTTTAATTCACAGTTTTATGATCAGAAATTTCAGTGAAACTCGCAGCAGTAGCATGTTTCTTGTTCTGATGCTGAGGTAATTATATCAATTTATGCCCTTTTTCTTTTATTTTTTAATCATCTAAATCATTTTTATACCATCTCAATATTAATTCAGTGATAATAATTAGCAAGAGCGTAAACACGAATTAATTTGTTTGAATTGAATTATTATTATGTTGAGGTAATTTAAATAACTCTAATAATGAGTTAGAGCCGCTTAAAGGAATTAATTGTTGTGATCATATTCAAAGACAAGTAATAGAGCTTGAAATTGAAGATGTTGAATGAATCATGAATGTGATGATGGAAGCAGAAATGGGGACCCAAAGACAGGCTCTGATTATGGTCTAAAAAGTCAAATAAAAGAAGTTGCTTTTTCTTTTGCTCTTTCTCTCGTGGGATTAATCATGCTGCCACTAAAGGAATCCATTTCCGGTTATAATTAAAAATTCATTCAACTGTATATAATTAAAACATAGAATATTTTGATGATCTTTAATTTTTCTCATAACTAAATCTGAAGTAGTCGACAGTAATTTAATGTATTCAACAACAATAATATCACGTCTCAAATTTTAATATTTGATTAAAATAATAATTTTAAAATATTGATATCAGAATTTTGGCGATTTTCTCGATATATCATCGGTGACCGGTAATATCACCGATCTAACACCTATCAGACTATATTTCCCGATCTAACACCTTTAGCAGTAAAGCGCGCCCCCTGCATCGCGTTATACGATGATTTGGCGTCACGTGAGATATAGCGCGCCCCCTGCACCGCGCTATACGATGGCGTCACGTGGGTATAGCGCGGCCCCTGCAGCGCGCTATACGCCACGTAGGGGTATAGCGCGGATCATGTACCGCGCTATACCTTTACTCCTGACATAATTTTATACAGCGCGGGGCAGGTACCGCGACATACCTTTAAATATAATTTTATATAGCGCGGATCAGGTACCGCGTTTTGTATAACTTTTCTCGCTATAAATACCATTCTCCGCCAGTTAATTTCTCACATTTCTCCTCTCAACTTATAAATTAATACAACAATTCCGTCAACGAGTCAATAATTCTGGCAATCTTCTCATATTTTATTTAGAAGTTCGTGCGATTTTTTGTTATAAGGTAATTTTGTTATAATTTTTTATTATATTTATTGTTTATTATGATTATTTGAAAAAAATATTATACTAATTATTTTCAATTAATTTTTGTGTTTGTAAAATTGGAAAGCGGGAGCATACGTCGAAATAGTTTTACGGTGCAGGTAATAATATTAAATTATATTATTTAATTTATTTACGTTGATGTGTAAAATTTTTATTGTGTTATATGTTCGTTCATATATAATTTATTAAATCAGGTTTGTTTCATTTATTTTTTTTGCAGATTTAATAGTGCTGCACTTTTAAACTTAAATAATGGCGCGACTTTCAGTTATTGTTTATTATGATGGTGAAATTCGAGAAGATGAAACCGGCGTTGTTTTCGTATCAAATGAGCGTGTTAAAATATCATTCAAGAGAAACATAACTCTTGAAGAGCTGATAACGAAGATTTCGAGGAAGATTCATGTTGGAAGTAGTAGAAGAGTGTCGTCGTTGCAGTATAGATTTCCAACATCATTGTTGCCATTAACTTATACAGCGTTTGAACTTTCGAACAATGATTATGTTGAAATGATGGTTGAAGCTCAAAGTAATTATTCAGACGCCGCTATTGAGATGTATGCACATTTTGTTCAAGTTCGGGGTCAATCATTAAGCTCTCACTATGGGCTGATTGAACAAGTTAATCAAGTTGACAGCTCGACGACAGTAATGTGTAATGATTTTAATGCCATAATGAGGAGACATTCATCCGTAACTCCTTACGATATGTACCGAGGTAGGTTCACGAACAATCCGTATTGCAACATCGCGTCCAGTTTAAGGGGAAGGCATTCATCTGCAAATCCCTTTGACCTTAATATGGTGATGCCATCGACGCAACCATTTGTGCAGTTTCCATTTGACGCGATGGCTTCAAGCTCTAGTGGGAGGCATTCGACTGCGAGCTTTTTCGATCTCAATGTCGATATGCCTTCCAGTTCAAGGGGAAGACGTGCAAGTAGTAGGTTCTTCGACCTAAATGTGGAGAGCATGGAGGAACCATCATCTCCACCAGAAGAACCGCTTCGTGGGCCTGGTGCGGATGGTGCTGAGACTGGACTATTTATTGACCCAGAATCACCACAATTCAACTCCGATGATGATGAAGTTCCAGGAAATGTGGCACAAACTGCACACATGTATGAAGCTGATTATGGTGCAATGTACGGGCCATAATTTGCGGATATGCCTCATCTCGGTGACTATGGGTATTACTCATCAATAAATAATGGTGAGTTATCTTTAGGCATGGAGTTTTCAAGCAAAGAAGAAGTGATGATGGCTATCAAAAATTATAATATCCGTAATTTTGTTCAGTCCAGAGTAGACCGCTCCACGACCAAAAAATATGTATGCTACTGTGCCCAGCGCGAAAACGGATGCAATTGGATGGTTCGCGTATCGAAGAGGAAGAAGAAAAACAACATATGGGAACTAACAGTATACAACGGTCCTCACACATATTGTGCTGGAGGGGTCAACCAAGATCATCCCAACTTGGACTCTAAAGTGATATGCCAAGCCATCATGCCCATGGTCAAAGCAAGCTCTCATATAACTGTTGCAGTGTTGATTTCAGCTATACAATCGCAGTATGTGTACACTGTCTCCTATAAAAGAGCTTGGTTGGCAAAACAAAATGCCATTGTCAAACTTCATGGCGAATGGGATGCATCTTACAACGAACTTCCAGGTTGGTTTAGGCTGGTGCGAACGTTGAATCCTGGGACAATTGTGGACTTCGAAACCTCCTATGCATACCATAATGATCGAGTTCTTCGCGATTGATGCCAATTCTACCGGGTTTTTTGGAGTTACCCACAGTGCGTTAATGTTGTCAAATACTGCAAGCCTGTGGTCCAGATCGACGGGACTTTCTTGAATGGAAAATACAAGCAAATTTTATTATTGGCAGTTGTCCAAGATGGCAATCGCAACATTCTTCCAGTTGCTTTTGCTCTTGTCGAAGGAGAAGATACAACTTCTTGGGCTTTTTTCCTCCGAAATTTACGGGCACATGTTATCACGAGGGAAAACATCTGTGTCATTTCAGATCACGGAGCTGGGATCAAAGCAGCAATGGAGTCTTTGGGTCCAATGTGGAAACCACCTTTTGTCCAACATAGATATTGTCTTCGACATATTGCCGCGAACTACCATGGAAGGTACAAGAAGAATGATGAGCGTCAATTAATTGTGCGCATGGGTAAGTGAAACTTAGCAAGTTTGTTTTCTTTCGATCGTTTTAATTTTGCAAAGACATCAAGTTAGTAAGTTATACATTTTTTGATCAGGTTACGAACTACTTCCTCGAACGTTTGAATCAATGTTTCAAGAGTTGCAGGCGAAGAACGAGGAAGGATATAATTACATCAGCCTCATCGATAAAGAAATGTGGACGAACGCATATGATGGTGGATATCGATATGGACACATGACGACCAACTTGGCAGAGGCAATCAATTCAACCTTAAAGGGTGCACGTCACTTACCAGTAGCGGCTTTGGTAAAGACTACATATTTTTGTTTGGGGCGCTTTTTGCGAAGCTCGGGGGACAAGCTCAAACCTGGATGCAAGACGGTCATGTCTATCACCCTAAATTAGTTGCAGATCTACAGAAAAAAATTGTTGCATCAAATGGAATGTCTGTAACAAGCTTCTCTAGAAGGCATGAAATGTTTCGTGTCACAGAGTTGCCGCAACCTCTTCAAGGGATTGAAGTTGTGTCGTTAAGAGTAAATCTAAGGGACAGAACGTGCGACTGCGGGTTTTTTTAAGCTCTGAAGTATCCATGCTCTCATGTGATAGCAGCTTGCTCGCATACACGTCAAGACTATAACCATTTTGTGAATCTCGTATACCTACTATCAGAAGTTTTTAAGGTATACGAATTTGAGTTTCCCCCATAGGTAATGACAAAGACCATGATGAGGTTCAAGATTGGCTTCCGATTGTACCAAATCCGAGTTTATTGAGGGAGCGTGGTCGTCCAAAATCCAATCGAATTCATTACGATATGGATATTAGAGAAAGATCTAGACAAGACAGAAGATGTGGGCATTATAGAAACCCAGGACACACTAGAAAAACATGTCCACTTCTGTTATCATCAAGTAACAATTGATGAGGAAATGATGTATTTTATTGTCAAATAATAATTCTTCTACTTTAATTTGCATTTACTTCAAGTTAATGTCATTTGATAATCACCGATGAAGATTAAAAAAACAAACACAATCATTAAATTTTAACAAACTAATAACAATAAGTATTAAATGGTAAATGATAACCAAATTACAATAACTAATATTAAATGGTAATAAAAAAACAAACTGAAATACATTAAAAAAGTCCAACAAATTTAACAAAATAAAGTAAGTATTAAATGAGAAATAAAAAAAAATTACAATTTAACAAAATAAAGTAAATACAAATATAATAAAAAACAAAATCTATCGATCCTTGGGAAGTAGAAACGGTTTCCCGTTACTGTTGAACCACTCATAATAATCCTCAACATACATTAAGAGGACATCAAAAATGGGCTCTCTATGGGGAAGGCGCCGATGTCGATCCTCCCACAACACGACCCACCCATGATGCCTAACCAGCCAATCTGTGTCTGTCATGTCACGTCTGTCTAAGCTATGCAACTCGTCCATATTGTGAGATGCTTCCGGAATTGGTTGAAAACAGCCAAACTGTCGGAGCACGCGATCAGTGGAGTGCCACAAGACGGTCGCATAACAGATCAGAGGGACCATCGCCATCTAAACATCTAATGGACTCCTCAACTCAGG